GAACACAGGATGACCGAGCACAGCACGAGTGAAAAGTCTGTTCAGGAACGCTCAATGATGTCATGCAACACGACTGAAATGCACAAACCAAAAAACCATTAATGGCCGGCTACCTAACGTCTGGCTTAAAAACTAGCACAAACTTGACATCTATCAATGAACTCCTAACAATAAAAGCCCGTATCTTGCATGTTCACAAACGCCCAAGGCCTTATAAGCAAGTTGGCCGCACTTTGAGAACTGCATCCATCACAACCGCGGGACCACGTTATGATTACAGAGACATGGTTAAACCCTGAGATAACCGACGGTGAGATTAATTTACCCGGGATGTCGCTGCTTGGGAACGATAGCAATGGAAGGGGTGGCGGTGTGATTCTTTACTATAATACAAACCTCCAAGGTGCAGTTATCGATCACACGGAAGTCCGAGCTCCCGATTCGCTTTGGTGCCACCTTTCGTTGCGAAACAAGGACATGTTAGCGAAAACGACACGACAGGGGGGTAGACGTTTATTGCACACCGAAAATGGGCACATGAGGGTCTCACGCGCGCCATCGAATATCGACTAGATTTCCGTCCCACCACGCAACACAGGTACGGATGTTAGAGACGAGCCAGTCCTTTCGCCAAGGGAGCTCTGACTTAGAAGTCCCGCCTTCCTGTTTCCGCCTCGATCTCCACTTCTCTGTACCCGATTTGGATCGGCCAGGAGTCGTTCGAGAGCTCTCGACTTGCTTGTTCTGGGCTGTGTCAATCGACTCGGCGTCGGTCCTGTGGGCTGCGCTAGCGGCGTATATGTCTGATTTATTGCGCTGTCCACATATTCCCGCTCCGTAGTTCCGGGCCCAGGCTCGTCGCTAGCCGTCCCTCTCGATCCGCTCTCAGCTAGCTCCGAAGAGCTCCCCCGAGGCATTCTTGGAAGCGGCCCCTCTACACCCGCCCCTCCTCCAGGACCTTTCTTCCTCTCGTACCATGGTCGCAGGAGAGCAGCATTCACCCAACGTTTCATTCCTCCGCAGTCGATTAGGAAGTTGCCCGCTTTCTGGTCGATAATGGTGTAGGGGCCTTTCCAGCGTTCTCTGAACTTGCTTGCGCCCGGCCCGTCATGATCCGGCCGATCGTTGTTCCGTAACTTGACTCGTTCTCCAATCCTGAATGGCCTCCACTTGTGAGCTTCATGCCTGGCGTCGTAATTTCGCTTATTCCGCGCTTGTCGAGCTTTAGTTTCGCTTCTAGCTTTCCCTCGCAGTCGCTCTTGATGCCCAGCTGGATGTTTCCACTCACCCTGGTTCGGTAGGCAAGTATCGAGCGCAATCCGTGGTTCTCTGCCGAACAGTAATTCGAATGGCGCGACCTTGGTGGTTGATTGCATGCTGGTCCGATACGCGATCAGAACCTGAGGCAAAGCATCTTCCCATGCCAACTTCGTGCAGTTCATCCACGTCTTCAATGTCCGGTTGAACCGCTCGGTCATGCTGTTGGTTTGTGGGTGGTACGGTGAAGTTCGCCGTCTCTGGATGCCCCACTTGTCCAACACTGCCTTAAACGCTTTTGACTCGAAGCAGGGCCCTTGGTCCGTGATGATACACTGTGGGATCCCATACCTTGCAGGCACATTGAATTCGAATACTTGCGACACTGTCTCGCCTGTTTGGTCCTTGATTGGTATGGCTTCCACCCACCGAGTGAAGTGGTCAATCATCACTAGAATGTATCTGTTTCCTGTTCGACTCACTGGTAAGGGCCCAAAGACGTCCAGTCCCAACACTGAAGTGGCTCACCAACCTCCATCGATCGCATCGGCGGTCTCGGGGACTCCATCTCCGACTCGTTTGGCAGTTTGGGCACCCCGAATGTATGCCGCGACATCCTTCCTCATGGTTGGCCAAAACACTCGCCTCCGCAGCAATTCAAAGACCCGCTCGAATCCCATATGGGCGCCATCATGAGTTATGCGCATCACACGTTCTCGCTGATTTGGTGGAACAAAAGGCACTTTCCGTCCGTCTATCGCCACCACCACGTTATCGTTTTCGACCTTCAGCCTGTCCCAGATCTTGAGGAGTTACTCCACCTCTTCCGATGTGGCCTCCGGTTTGGTGGCAGTCTGTAAGTGAGAGCACAACACCTTCACGAATTCATCTGTCCTTTGATCTCCCAGCAGGTTCCTCTCCCCCATCGCGATCGCCCGCACCGATATGGCATTGTCTGGCGTGATGTCGTCCAAACGCGGGCGTGCCAACATATCTGGCAATACATTCTGCGTTCCATCCACGTGCTCAATAGTGAAGTTGAATTCCTGCAAGCGGTAGGCCCATCGCGCAAGCCGTCCCCGCAGGTCTTTCGCCGTCATCAACCACGAGAGCGGTTTGTGGTCAGTGACGACCCGGAATTCATTCGCCAGTTAGTAATTTCTCCACTTCTCTAACGCCCACACGATGGCCAAGCATTCTTTCTCCGTGGCTGAATACTTCTGTTCCGCCCCCGTCAGCACTCTGCTCGCGTACTCCACCACCCCAGCCGGTTGAGACAAAACCGCACCGATTGCCACGTTGCTTGCGTCGACAGCCCCAGTGAACCTCTCACCAGGATTGGGTAGCCGTAAACAGGTCGGGGCTTCTGCTATGCACTACTTTAGATGGTCAAAGGCTTGATCCGCTTCAGCTGTCCACAAGAACGGCACGTCCTTGCGAAGCAGCTTTAACAGCGGGCTGACGTTCTCTGCGAACTGGGGCACAAACTTTGAATCATATGCCACCACTCCCAAGAACGAACGGAGCTGACGCTTGGATTTTGGTTTTGCGAAGCACTTGATCGTCTCGCGTTTCTCCGGAAGTGGATGGACTTGATCATTGCCCACGATGTGACCCAAGCATACAATCGACTTTTGGGCAATCTGTGACTTTTTACGACTGAGTTTCAGACCAGCTTCGTCCAGTCTCTGCAGTACTGCTCCAAGTCTGGTCACACGTATCTGTTCCGTCTCAGAGAAAACGCTGATGTCATCACCATACACAACCACGCCTTGCAGGTTCGCCAGGACCATCAGCAACAAACGCCTGAATGTAGCTGGGGCGTTGCACAACCCGTACGGCATTCTCAAAAAATCATACTGCTGGCCATTGATACTGAAACCGGCCTTGTGGCGATCTTCTTCTGCCATCGGCAGTTGCCAATATCCCGAGCGAAGATCAATCAGAGATATCTGCTTGGCACTGTGGAGGCTTGAGAACAATTTCTTCCAACTGAGGCATCGGGAATGCATCCTTCACAGTCACCCTGTTTAGTTCTCTGAAATCGATGCAAAATCGATAGGTTCCGTCGGCCTTCTTCGTCTATAGCACGGGTGATGAATACGGGCTGTGCGTTCGCCTGATGATTCCTTTCGATTCCATCTCGGTCGCCTGCTTCTGTACCTCAACCAAGGTGTCTCTGTGGAATTCGTCTGAAGATTGGCTTGCATTGTCCTCCTGGGATCAACGGGATTCGGTGTTCAACCCAATTGCAAAATCCGTAATCATCTTCCGCGTCTGTGAATAAGTGGGCATACCACCAGCCTGCTCTTGCTGCTCTCCTCCCTGCACCCTCTCTCTACCTACTCTCTACCTCTCTGCTCTCTCTGCTTCGACCTACTCTATACCTCTCTCTCTTCTGTCTCTTCACCTTTACCTCTCTCTCTTACCTCTCCTCTCTATACCTACCTCATCCTCTCTCTCTTCTGACACCTCTTCTCTTCTTCTTACTCTTTCTGCTTACCTGTTGCTACTACCTCTCTTCTCTCTGCCTTCTCTCTCTATCTATACCATCTTTGGCTGCTGCTCTATACCTGCTACTCTTCTGGCTCTCAACCTGCTCTCTCTGCCTCCTTACCCTCTCCTGCTCCCTTACCTTACCTCTGCTGTGTGCTCTCCTTACCTTACTCTCTTCCTCTGCTCTTTCTACCTTCTAGCTCTCAGGTGGACTCTCTAGACCTCTGGTACTCTTTCTAGATACCATTTCTTACCTCCTCTCACTCTCTCTCTTGCATACCTTCTGCTCTTCAGCCTTCCTCTCTCTGAAACCTCTACCTCTCTCCTACCTGTACCTTTTCTCAACCACCTGCTATACCTCTAGCTCTTTCTCTCTCTCTCCTCCTCCTTCTGACCTCACCTGCTCTCCTCTCTCTCCTCTCTCTCAAACCTGCTTGCTCTCTCTCCCTTCTCCCTCTGACCTCTGGACCTCTCTCTTCTCTAACCTGTACCTCTTCTACTTTCTCTTCTGCTATGCTCCTCTCTTCTCTCTCTTCAGCTCCTCTCCACTTGCTCTGCTTGCGTCTGCTTACCTGTACCTCTTCTTACCTCGTACTCTGACCTGCCTCCTCTCGCCTGCTCTACTTTTTTTTTCTCTCTCTGCTCTTCTCTTCTCTGCTCTCTCTCTCATCTGAAACCTCTATCTCTGAATACCTCTACTGCTACCCTCACACCTCTTACCTTCTGCTCTACCTTGTTCTCTCACCTCTCCTTTCACCTCCTCTCCCTCTCTCTGCGGACCTACCTCTGCCGGACATAGCTGACTCCTCACGCCTCCCTCTATACCAGACCTCTCCTACTCTCTGACGTGCTCCCCAGCCTTCCTCTCCCTCTCTCTCCTCTCCCCCTCCTCCGTACTCTACTACCTCTACAAGGAGTGCAATTCATCGCTGTACCTATCTACCTTTCTCTCAGTCCTGCCTCCCCCTCTCCCTCACCTCCTATGCCCTACTGACCTCCTGGGCCTCTCTCCCCTATACCTTCCTCTACTCCTCTGCCTCTCTACCTATTTACCTCTCTCTCTCTCCTCCTCTCTCTCTCTCAGCTAGACCCTCTCTCCTCCTCCTGCTCTGCCTCTTCCCCATTCCCTCTCCTTACCTCTCTGGACCTGCTCACTCTGCTGCTACTGTCTCTCTCATACTCTCCTACTCTCTGAGACTGACCTCTCATCTCTAAGGCAGTCCTTAACCTCCTCTTCACCTCCGCTCATGAAGCAGTCCACTTCTCCTGCTGACTCTTCTGCTCTCCTACCTTCAGTCTCTGCACTCTCTACCTCTCTGACCCTGGCTACCGTCTCTCCTCTCTCTCGCTGCTCTACCTGGACGCCTCTCGCAGCTACCTCACTCTCCTCCTGGACGTCCTGTGACCTGCCCTTACCCTTACTCTCTTCTCTCTCAGAACGGCACTCTGACCCCCTCTGCATATCGCCAGACCCTGCTCCTGACTCCCCTACCTCCTGCTGCTCCTTCATAACCTGCCTCTCACTCTCTAACCTCTCTCCTTCTCTCTCTCTTCTCTACCTAAGGCTCCTCTCTCCTCCCGCTTACCAGCAGGATCCCTCTCCCTCTCGCTCTCTCTCTGGCTTCTCTTCTCCTCCTCTTCACCTCTCTCTACTCTCTGCTCCCCCACTCTCTGCCTCCTCTGCTCTCCTCAGACCTACCTCTTACCTGACCTCATACTGCTACTCTACCTCTTCTGCTTATACCTCACCTCGCCTCCATCTCTGACCTCCTCCTCTCTACCTGAACCTGCATCTCTCTCTGCTCTCGCTCTCTGCTGCTCTGCTCTTACTAACTCTCTCGGCACTCCTCTCTCTACCTTCTGACACTCGACTCTCTTTACCTCTCTCCTCTACCTACCTACTCTGCTCTCTCTAACCTCTCCTCCCGCTCTCTCCTCTCGCTCACCAACTCTCTCTCTCCTCTGGTATACCTGCTCTACTCTCCTCCTTACCTATACCTCTCGTCAATACCTCTCCTCTCAGCGTCTTCTCAGACCTCTTCTCTTCTTCTCTGCTTACCCTTACCTCTCTCTCTCTGCCTCTAGAATCTCTTTTGCTGCGGACCTCCTACCTCTCTGGTGGGCCTCCTCCTCTTACCTCTCTACCCTCCTCTCTCTCTTACCTCTGGAACCTTACTCTCTACTTCTTCATCTTCACTGACCTCTTACTTCTTGTACCTTCCTCTCTACTTACTCTGGCACTGTACCATACCCTACTCCTCTGGACCTGCTACCACACCTTTCCTTCAACCTCTCTCGAAACCTCTCTCGCTTACTGCTCTGCACCTCTCCTGCTCAGCTTCTCTCTCCTCTTCTGCTCAGTACGTTGCGTATTGCACGGTTCTGACAATCAGGCACGGCTTTGAGGGCACCACCCCGTCGGTTCTCCCCTTGTTTATCTCGATCGTATCGTTAGCCACGATCACCACATCGTTTCTCAGGTCAATTGTGACACCGAGCCGTTTCAGGATGTCGGTTCCGATGATGGTTTCGGTCGTCTCCTCCACGATGAACATGTCATGGCGGATGAGCGTTTCTCCTATCCTGATTCGTAACCGCTGCGTGCCCGTCACTTTCAAAGAATGCCCGCCGACCGTCTGCATCGTGATTGAAGATGGGTTTACTGGAACCCCGTTGAACCTCTTCGTAATTGACACTGCCGCTCCTGTGTCTACTATGGCTCGGACAGACACACCTTCTATAGTTACCTGGAGGACTGGTACTCGCCACCGACTCGGCATGGATAGAGAGAAACAATGGGCACATTGACGTTGGTGCAGAATCTCGCCACATGACCACTCTGGTTGCATCGGAAACAGCGGCGACCGTTCCGGATTACCCGTACATTGCGTTGTGAAGTGGTGCTTGAAGACTCTATCGACAACAGCTGCTCCACCATTTCGGATAGGCGATTTACTTTCTGTTCCAACTCAGCATGCTGGATGCTTCTCACTGTCACTCGTTCCGACAAATTCTGGGCGACCGTCACCAGATCCAACGCTTTGCTGTCTCCCACCATCGACGCCAATTTCACCTGATCACGGAGTGGATCGGGCAGACTTCGGATAAACTGCTGTTTCAGTAGGCGCTCTCTTGCGTTGCCCTCTAACTCGGGGAGCCCAATCGTTAGATGTCTGTCCAGCTGCTGGAAAACACACCATCAAATCCTCCTGTTCGTCCCATCTGGCTGCGTGAAATCGTTGCAGTGCTCGTTCTCTCTCCAGATCCTTCCCAAATTCTGTACACAAGGC